CCAGCCTTCTGGTTAGCAGTCAAGTGCCTTAGGCACGATGCTACCAGAGTAGCTCTAGACAGTAGATACTTGGTATTTTTGGTGATGAGAAAGGCAATACTAATTATGTAAATGATGACAACAAGAAATACACAAGATTAAGGGACCGTATGGGAGTTCTGGTAGCATAGTGACTAAAGCACTTGACTGCTAACCAGAACAGTGGTGGTTCAAACTCACCAGCCACTCCTCGGAAGGAAGGTTGGCCATCTACTTCCGTAGAGATACTGCCTCGGAAACCCAAGGCGGGGTCGCTATGAGTCGGATTGACGGCAGTACGTTGCATTTTGTTGTTTGCATCCTAGTATGGTAAGTAGCATCTGCGGTCTTAAAAACTTGTGAGTAGAGACCAACTATTGGTCTCTACTCATCTGGAGCGAAGGACAAAGAATGAAGCAAAAAACTCAAAGAAGAATCTTGTCTACAAGACTAACTGCCTGCACAAACACGGCCTCGTCTAACCTCAGACCAGAAGAACTTGATGGTGCTTAACAGTACTGACCCTTCTGACCAGGGACATTACGGATGGTCCAAGATAAAATGAGAAAAAAATCGCAGAACAAAGCTCTAATTCTCATTAAAAAAAAAAAAAAAAAGCCAGACTCACTTGACTGGTAGAGACTAGAAAACCCCTGTGTCTATGGCCCCGAGATACCCTTCAAACTTTGAACTGAAACTACTCCCAGAAGTCACCTCTCAGCTTAATGACAGACTGGCTCATAAAATAAACACTATCACCTATGAATCCTCTGCTCCTTTAAAGTTAAAAAAAAAATCATCTATCTATATGATACCAAATGGTCACTATTTACCCTGAAGCATGGATGAGAAGGTCGGGAGGGAGCAGGGAGGCTGGACCAACGGACACAGAACAGCCAGCACGGAAGCACAGAGAAGGCCAACACAGTGTGGGCCAGTGCTATGGACGGTGTGTATGAAAGCTGTTACATGAGAATGTAATCTGCTGGGTAAACTTTCACCAAAAACTCAGTAAAATATTTATTGAAGAAACAATAGTAAAACAAAAACAACCACCATCATGCCCCAAAGAAAGAAAGAAAAGAAGACAATTAGGAAAACGTAAATGCTAACTAGATATATGATATTAAAGAATTATTAATTAAAAAATGAGATGGATTAACGAATGGATGACGTGATGAAGCAAGTACAGTAAAACGTTCATGGTAATGTCTAGGTAGATACACAAGTGTTGAAGAATCTGAGAGCCAAAGGGGTGTGGTCATTGAGCTTGGCTGCTAACTGAAAGGATGGGGGTTTACGCTACCCAGAGGTGCCTCAGAAGTAAGGCCTGGTGGGATATATCCTAGAGAAGTGAGAGTCAGGACATTCATGTTCATCGTGGTATTATTCACAATAACAAAGAGATAGAAACAACCTAAGTGCCCATCAACAGATGAATGGATAACCAAACTATGGAACATACACACGATGGAATACTATGCAGCCCTAAAGAATAATGTTGTTGTTGTTGTTATGTGCCATCGAGTCGGCCTCGACACATAGCGACC